GAAATTCTGCCCCTAGCAGTAGGAATGGATTAAGCAGCTTTACATTAGTTCCTATGGGAACTAATGAATCGGCTTGCGAACTGCCCCTTGACTTAAGAACATAAAACAGCCGGAACGGATTAAATGGTTTTCAATGCATTCCTATGGGAAATGCTGATTCGAGTTACAAACTTTTCAGGTTACGAACAGACTTCCGGAACGGATTAAGTTCGTAAGTTGAGGGCCCACTGTATAATATTCAATATTTTTTCCACATTTTCCAGCATCTGTGGGGGGTGGGGCAGGAAGGGTTCTCGGAACTGGTCCCTTGCAGCTAGCATGGTCCTCGTGTATCTGTGGCAACAACCAGGTGCGCCAGAGGCGTGGTTCCCAAACTCGGATCCTTCGGTGTCATTTCCCTCCCAGAAGACCCAGAGAGAACTGCCAATGGTTGTTCAAAATTTGGGAGGACCCTTGTGCTGGACTGTGAACCCTTCGCCTGCACAATTCCTTAAACTGAAACTGAACGGGGGCTTCCCTAAAGCAGGATCCGTTTCTTTCCGTCCTGCCCATGCTGGGAGAGAAACACGTATGAAGCTCTCTCTGACCTCACACCTCCGTTGACTTGCTCCTAAAGGAGGAAGGCTTGGTGGGGTTCTGCCGTTTGGCACCTAGCCCACCTTCCCCTGAAGACGCCCCCACCCACCTGGAGCCCAGGCTGCCACACCTGGATGGCACTTCATTCAAAAGATGCAGACTAAAGCCATTGGAGCGCTCGCCTCCCTCACCAAATACACGAAATAAAGGGGCAAGTTGGTACCCCCTTCAAAGCCCCCCCCCCCCAAAGCAAAGAAACGGAAGAGAACAAGAAACAGGAAAAAATAAGGGATCTCTCTTCCGTAGGATTCAGGAAATCAAATAGATTTTTAAGTAGAACTTAAGGCTGCCAAAAGACCAACTGGGGGGAGGGCATGTTATCCGATCAGGATAAGCAAAGAGAAAATGGAAACAAGACATTATTCCTGGGTTGCAAATATTAAAGATTATAACTACTAGCAAGAACGAGTCATTACCTTTAAAAATAATGGTTTAAATTGAGTCTTACTAACTAGTGATTTAAATCATGATTTACAATGACTTGATTTAAATCAAATCCACCCTGGTCTAGATGATGAAAAATGATGGATTGTACTCAGAGAAATGGATGGTCTACAAGATGAGTAATCTATACTATGGAAATGAGGAAATGCAGAATATGAAGGAAGAGTACCATTTTGAATTGATCAAGGTGTCAGAGAAGAGAATATTTTATCTTCCTCTCTGTTCAATTTATAGGCGGAACACATCCTAAAAAAAGCTGGATTAGACTCAGATGAAGCAAGAGGGAAATGGAAGAAACATCACTAATTTATGTAGATGACATCATCCTACCGGCCGAAAATAGTAATGACTTGAAGGGACTACTGAGAAAAATTAACGAAGAAAGTGCAAGAGAAGAAATCTAGCTGAACACTAAGCTGTGACCAAGATCATGGACTACAGAAGAATTAGATCACTTTTAGGCTGACAATGAAGTGTTAAGGATCTTCTGTTCCTTAGCTCAACTGTTGATGCAAATGGAGAAATCAGAAGACAGAGACTTGAAAGGACAGATAAAGAAGAAACTAGAAATGATTCTTCAGTGCCACTGGAGACCAAGAGCACGATAGTTTGCACTATAGTATTCTTGATTACTACATAGGTACGTGAAAGGCAGACAATGGCAAAAGCTGAGAGAGATAAAAAACAATAATTTGAAAAGTGGTGCTGGAGGAGAGCTTTGAGGGTAGATACCCCGGACGGCCAGAAAGACAAACAAGTGGGTCTTGGAACAAATCAAGCCTGAACTCCTTCCAGAAGTTAAAAAAATGACTAAAACAAAGTCTATGATACTCTGGATATTTCATCAGAAGGGAAATAACATTGGGAAAAGTGGAACACCACACAAATTATGTTTTAAGCTTGTGGCTTCAATTAGGGAGTCAGTCCATCTCGTGTCGGGCCTTCCTCTTTTCCTCCTGCCTTCCAACTTCTCCAGCACTCTTGTCTTTTCCACAGAATCCTGCCTTCTCATATGTGTCCAAAGGAGGACGGTCTCATTTTCCCACATTTTTTGCCTCCAGAGAGAGCTCAGGCTTTGATTTAGGAACCACTTGTCTTTCTGGGAGCTGACGGTATCAGCAAAGCTCTCCTCCAGCACCATATTCCAAACAAATTATTTTTTTCCCTTTCAGATTTCTTAATTGTCCAGCTTTCACACCCATATGTGGTGATCGGGGGTGGGTGGGGGAAGAGTGTGGGAGATCTTGGCTTTGGTCTCCAGTGACACATCCTTACACTTGGTCTTTTCTAGTTCCGTCACTGCTGACTTTCCGAGTCTCAATCTTCTGGTTTCTGCCGTCTCCCTTTGGATCGATGGTTGAACTGCGGCATACAAAATCTCTGCTTCAATTTCTTCATCGCCAACATAAAAACTGTATAGTTTCCTTCTAGTCATGATTGTTGTCTTCTTAACATTCATGGGCAGGCCTCTGCTTTGGCACCTTCACCTAAATCAGAAGTGCTTGATGGTACATATGAACCACAGAGATTTCTAGGCTAAAACTGAAACAAAATGTTCTGAAATGTGAGAGCAGAACCTGGGTCAAAACCTCTCGGGTACATGGGTAAGAGAGACAGATTGGACCTGGATGTCCCTGAGGGAGGCGGGCTGCTCCGGAGCTCTGAATGGCTGCTGCCCCAACTTCATAACTAGCAACAGCGAAATTCTGCAAAATAGGCACATCTGAATAGCACATAGTTGAAACTGACTCTCTGGAGCCTAACTCTGAGCCCTCCAGACACAAAATAAACAGGCCTGGATGTGACACTCCACTCTCACCCTGTCCAACCCCTTCTGTGTCCAACTGAGGCAGCCCTCGGGGTTCAGGCACCCAGCAACTCACGTCAGAACGTTTGCAGGCATCATCTGTGACTCTGGTGCGGCTTCTATCAAGGATTGCCAGGTATTTGTGGAGTTGGGGATCACGAAGCCAAACTCAAAGAACCATTCTGCAAAAAGAGGGAGAGAAAAAGGGAGACAGACCTTTTAAACATTTCCTGGTTCCATTCCCCACCCCTCCCAGCCTTGCAGAGCGAGAGTCCATTGAAGGAATGGAGGAACCATCCTCAATGCCCTTGCGCAAAGGGGTCGGAGGATGCTGTGACTGGGTCTCCGGACCTGAGACAAAAGAGTTCTCAACAAGGGCAATCAAGTCGCACTAAAAACACGGCCTAATTCCTGAAAACCGATTGGTCTACAAACTACAATTTCAGACGTTCAAGCTATCAGACAAGGGAGAATGTACAAAAGTCCTTCCGGTTGTAAATGGCAACTTTATGTATTTTTAACATAAAGGAAATTCGTGGACAGGGATTTTTTAAAACTATAATGAAGATTAGGAAGAGCTGGGAAAAACCACCACAGAATGAGAAATACTTTGTGACACTGTACCACTGAACTGGGGGAGCAGCTGTTAAGAAATACTGTATTTTTCTGTGTATAAGAGTCCAGCCCCTGCCAAGGAAGCACTGTGAGGGATCAAACTCCCAACCTCTGTTTCCGCAGCCAGAGACGTAAACCCCTGAGCTATCTAGCCATTCTGCAAATCATCGCTGATCTGACGGACACCAGGGATGGAACCTGAAACTGTCTGCATGCAAAACATGTTTCTTCACCATGGATCAGGCTGACTGGGGATGATGGCTTGCACTTTTAATACTTCAAATGCTGGGGCGGCTGGCGTAGGATGGCAAGATGCCCGCGTCTGACTCATTTGCACCAAGACAAGGGTGACCTATTGAGAGAACAGTTCTGATCGGTCCTCCTGCCTCTCCCCTTCCTCCTTCCTGCAACCCCCAGAGCAGAACCGTACCTTCTAGACACTGTCCTTTGAAGTACACTTTCTGTTCCAGACGGAATTTCTCCATCTGTTCCGTGGAGGAAAAGTTTAGCTCCCGAGAGACAGCCTTGCATTTCAAAATTTTCTTCGGAACACGAGCTAGTGGAAAAGAGAAAAAAGATATCACTCAGAGCAGGAAGAGGCCACTTGCTGATGCCCAAAGTCCATTCGAGGGTAAGAAAAAAGCAAACACCCGCTTTTGCAGAGCAGACGCGAGTGTAGCCTTTCCCACCCATCCACCCCCAAAAATGTATGGGCCAGGTGCACATCAAGCCTCTTGTGACAGGTACGAAGCACCTTCAGAAGAGATGGGGAAGGAGGCGCCTGGAAGCTGAAAGAAAGGCCACTTCGGCTGTGCTGTTGGGCATTTATGCTTCCCTGTTGCAACTCAAGAGCCAGGATCGCAGCACCTCTGGTTCAAGGGCTTCCACTGAATATGTGCAAAACTCAGGACAGGCGGGAGTGTGCTTGTAGCCGCTCTGAGGCTCCACGGAAGCTGATCACAGGGATCTTCAAGAAGGAAATCTGCAAGGATAGGCGAGCATCCCTGAGCAGCAACTGGCCTTACCCTTCGGACTAATTCACTGAACATTTTTTCTGCCTGCCAGGACTCTCAGAGCAATGCACATGATATAAAAGACATCGAAACCTTTGTTTAAAAACATTTCCAAAGGCTCATTTCAGAACCATTTCCAAAAAGCACGTAGAACAATTTCGTCTTGGCCCCTGCTGGAAACTCAACAAGAATGGTATGAGCTTGACACTCCCCAGGAGGGAGTTCCACCGCCGAGGGGCCGCTACTGAGAAAACCCTGCCTGGTCTACTCCGAGACTTAGCCTCCCGAGGCGGTGGGACACAAAAGAGGGTCTCCACTGAGAATCTCACACTCCAGGAGGAGTCAGCCTTCGAGATACCCTGATCCCACTACTGTCAGCAGCACCAGCTGCTGGGTTTAATGATGCATTCTGGCAGTTCTTCTCCCCAGAAGTAACTTTTCTAAGCTCTGGTGGGTAGAAGGCCCTTTGTAAGCTATAGGTAGACGGTGGGGTGATTTGCAAGCCACTGGCCAAGGCTTTCTGGCTATTGGTTGCTTAAGAACAGCACCAGAAAGAAGCAACTTTCTCAACTAGATTATCACCTTACTGAACCTCTAGCAAATCAGATCATTAGAATCTCTGATTTGCAAAAACTCCAGTGTAGATTTCTGCTTGGTTATTATACGGATCAAGCTGGAATACAGCAGATCACCCACTTTGCTGCACACATCATTGGGCCCATTCTTTGGCACCTGGCTCTCCACCCCACCTCACCCCCTGCACCTCCTTTGCATGCCGGTTCCCACATTTTAAGGGACCTGACAAAACATATCTTGCAAGCCTGAGGGGCTGCTCACACACCTGTTTGCAGAGTATCTCAGCTCAGGTGAGGCAACAGCAAAGGCTGCCTATCCCTCCTTCCCCAAATCCCGCATGCTGCATACTGGAGACACCCTTTCCCCACCCTCTTCCAAACCTTCTGGAAACCATTCAGATGCACGGCAAGCCCTCCGAAGGCAAGAAGCACAAAAAAACTGTTCAGAAGCCTCCTTTTAGGGGCTCTGTGACAAAAGCACTTCGCAGGAGGAGAAGAAACAAAACGTCAGCCTGAGCTTGGAAAGGTCACCAGCTCCCAAAATCCCCTACCCGTCATGGCCATGGCAGGCCTAGCTAGGGGATTCTGGGAAGTGTAGTCCCTGCAGGAAACTCCTTCAGACTCTGACAATACTCTGTCTGGCTTCCCCCCTCCCAGCCACTATGAGGCTGAACCCTTTGGCTGCAGGCCTTCCCTTTCAGAACCGGCAAAAGGCTGTTCCTCAGTCATCTTCATTACTGAAGTCATTCCATAGCTTTTAACCATGCTTTTAGCTTTTTAGCCAAGGCATCATTTAGACGCCACCTAACCCATGCACGTTATTAAGCAGATTAGCACAGCGATTTTTCTGCAAAAACCACTACATTAAAAAGAAGAGAGGGGGGGAAAAAAGGCAGAGGGGCCTGGAAGCTAAAGTGGATCTTGGACAAAAAGCCAAAAGCCAGATTAAGGGCTTGTCGGCAGCACTGCCGCCATCTGGCTTCCCATTTCCAAACATACCCACACATGTTCTTATTCAGGCCAAAAGACTCATGTGTGCCGCACGGGGAATGTGACAATAGGGCTGGAGAATCCGGCGAGAAATCAGCTCTTCCCCTCGCACCAGAACCGGAGTGCAGAGGCTTGAGCCTCGGAGGGCTGGCCTTTTCTCGCTTTGGAAAAAAAAAAAAAGGCCTACGCTTTGTGTATCTACCAACAGGCATACAGACCCTCTGCTTCTCCAGATGTGTTCATAGGGAAAGCTTAAGATACAGGTTCCTATCTGCACCGTCCTACTTAAACCACCAGAGTTGG